AAGTTGAGATAGGGACATTGAAGCCGTTTCAACCAATTAATCCAATAATGAATAGTTTCGACACAAAAAAATCTTAAAGTTGAAAAATCTCGATTTTGAACACCCTATATCTCTGTTATCATTCCCGCTAGACCCCAAGTGTGATGTATTGATGAAATCAGCTCTTCAGGGAGAATCTGAGAATACAATGAAATACAGGGTGTTCCATTTGAAAAAATCAAGTAGTACTCTGTAGATCGTTTGTTCCGAGCACCCTGTATTTTCTGATGCAACGGGAAAAAACGGGAAATTTCAGAAGATTTTTCAAATTTTTAAATCGGTTCTAGAATAAGTGAGCTAGAGGGGGGACATTTATGGTGAATCACTTTGTACCTAACTATGAAATTAGCTCATTAGTGTCCTAACTAAATTCTTTGTTGTGCTTCAATCGATTAATAGAAGGCTTCGAAAATCAATGGATGTTATTGGAATTAGCTCAAAGTCTTTGGTAGTAACTGAAAGTCATTGGAAGTCATTGGATGTCTTTGGAAGTCTTTGGAAGTCTTTGGAAGTCTTTGGAAGTCTTTGGAAGTCTTTGGAAGTCTTTGGAAGTCTTTGGAAGTCTTTGGAAGTCTTTGGAAGTCTTTGGAAGTCATTGGAAGTCTTTGGTAGTCTTTGGAAGTCTTTGGAAGTCTCTGTTCATTGGAAGTTTGGTGTACACATTTCTCCTGGAGATTTACCCCTCGGGAACATTCTCATGACATGAATATTGTTTCTCATAAATGTAGATACTGTGAATGAAGGTTTCCAGCATGGATTCTCTGATTATTACATCATCTGGATTCATAGTATTCATGTATCTGGTCCGATTTCTGTTGCAGATCACCTGTTTTCTCAACATCTTCTTCTGCAAGATATTCACTATTTGCTTGTGGATTGAGAGACATTTTTTGAGGAGAGAGTAGAGTTAGTTATAAATATAGTAAATGCTAATACCTATAAATGATGATAGGATGCAGACCTAAATACATACCTATATACGAACAAAACTGAATAGGTCGTGTTATACCTACTAACGTTCAGACACAATTATTCCTGCTTCTAATTCGTCAGCCACGATAACTTTCCTGCATATGCCTTCATACACTTCATTTTAAAAATCATACAAATTTGGTATTGTCGTCTTCAGAAAACATGTCTCGGTTGGACGGTGACAGAGCTATTATTACCGACTTAGGGAGCTGGCACTATCCATGTGGGTCATGATCTCTGAATACGAGTGTACATACAAACAATATCTTATGTAAATCGGTTTCGGTTTTACTCATCATCAATAGAGTTGATAACATTACAAAATAAAATAAATTGCTTTTGGCTATAGGATAAATCGTCAAAGTGGAAATATTTCGAATTTTCCAAAAAATTATGATTATATTTCTTCTTAATATCTACCTCTGATGGTTCGGTTTGAGATATCAGAGATGCAAAATAGTAACACTATATCAAGGAAAAAACATTATATTTATTCTTGCAGTCATTAGTGCGAAGTTATGCAATAGAACTGCAGCGGAATTTCAGAATGAATTTAACCCGATAACGCACAATGCCGAGGTCAATGCTATCGAAACTGATCAATAGTACCATTTCCATCTATAAGTATTGGGATCTACATATTTTTTAGTCTAACTACTTAAAGTTACATTGAAACAAAAGTTGCAGGAAAAAGTGCCATCATCAGCTCGGAAAATACCCTCTCCTATTTCCCATACCCCTTGAAAAGTTACATCACGTCCTGCAGCAGCAATTTCGGAACACCCTGTGAACATGTATTCATGCCGAGATTCATGCAATAATTAAAAACTGCTTTTTTTGAAAGAATGATCGTCAATTCAATGTACAAATTATGATGCTTCCAAAGATGTATTAATATAGCTTGTACGATCGTATAACTTTGTCATTCCTGTTCAACCTTCATGGAAGAAGAGGAGTAATCCTGGTTTACTTTAAAACAATGATATCGATTGTTTTTTTTTTCTCATGATAGTTATTGCTTCTCACCATCGATCATCCATTAAAGCGATTGAAACCTGTCAAGGACTAGCCATTGTTGCCGTAGCCGATGTGAAAAGTCATGTTGTTACAATATCGTCCAGTCAGTCGGATGTATTATTCATGGAAATATTTCACTGACTGGTAATTAAACGAGCGAGTTTTCCCATAGAAACAATAACATATATTTATTTCGAACGATACTCACTAACTGGTAACCGGGCACTAAGTTATGTTATTTCTCGAACCTATAATTCTGCCATGTTACAAGCGAACCGCTTGAAAGTATATATACGTGTTGACTATTACTAACCAACTTTCAGTGTAGAATAAATGTCTTTTATGATTTTGATGTCAATTACACGGGAAAACGATTGGCTTGTTTATGAACAAGTTTTTGAATTCATTAAGAATAATTACTTTTGATCGGATCAGTTCAACTCCATATAAAGACATTAAATTCGAAAGATCTGAATCCAACTGAATCTGAACAATTCATAGAAATGATTTTGATTATCAACGCCTCTACGTTTCAACCAGGTCAACCAAACTATATGACGGTTTCATTGACACACCCTGATTTGATTTCGATTCTTCAATCAGATTAACATGAGTCACATGCCACTTTATCAAAATATTAGCAGGAAACTGGGCAAGAATTCATCGATTAATTGAATCATAAATTTTGATTCTACTCAACTGTAACATTGGGAAGTACCTATCTCACAAAAGAAAAAATCCACTGCATGTCAGAAAATCTAGTAGACTGGAAGGATCAATTGAAGACTATGATGATAATTCTCGTGATAATTATCAATCACTGCCATCTTCATCATTCCACTTAAAGTGTGATCTTATGGAGATGTGATTGTCTTAACCAATTCTAACCCCTCCTGTTTCGATGTGCTTATATAAATCTACCCGATAATCTACCTATACTAGCGATCGACTAGTCACGTGCGATATCTTTTTTTTTGCAATTGCATTACCTCGTTGGTCCCAGCACTGGAACCAAACGCTCCATAAGTCGAAACTTGTGCGGGGTTAGGTAAGCATACAAACACAAACATCCATGGCCTAACTAGGATTCGAACCTATGTCTCGGTGAGAGTCCCCCATACGAACTCAGCGCATTCACGCTCTCGACCACCGAGCCGCCATTATCTATTTATACTGATGTGATAAAGAGCTTACTGGTTGGGTGTTGGGGAAATGTGATCTGGCTCTATTTTATAGATATTTTCATGGACGATGCTCTTCTGAAATATCAACAATTATTCCTCCCTTGGCAGTCCCCGCGAGTTGAGGCTTCGCACCCCTTCGTGGTCACTTTGGAGACCTGCAGAACATCTCTTTTCAAAGACTTGTTCATCCAACTAACAGCGAGGCTCTGGAACACATTTCTAAGGGAGGTGTTCCCCGAGGCATATAACCTCCAGAAATTTAAGAGGAACACCAATTCCTACCTTATTTCCCTTGGTTCTCACGATGTTCTCTGAACATTACAGGATATCCCAGAGGATATCCTTTCTCGTGGGAACCAGAACAGAAGGAAAACAAACTTTCTTGTTCTTCCTCATAGATAGTATGAGATGGTTCAGCTTGCCGACTTGATCTTGGATTTATAAAATTTCTAAATAGTCTATATTACAAATTATAAACCTACTGCAAATATATCAGGAAACTTGGTGGTATGAAACAGTTCTTGTAATAGGTATATCGCACCAACATCCACAAAATTCCACCTAATATGATGGAAAAACCTCGAGAGAAACACAATCAAGGGTCAAATAGTCTAAACACATACCTAAAGATTACCTACTCAGTCAAATCTGATTCAACCTGTTCCAATAATGTTTCTATTGTATTGCATCCAATATGACAATCAATTACCTATATGGTGGCGTTTGAATAGTCTTGTGGAATTTGTTCATATTGAAATAATATATAGCTTTTTGGTTTGAAACCAGATATACACTTACATATGTCAGTTCTAAATACTTAGGTACTCCTTTGTTCCGGCATGACAAGAAAACAGCAGAAAATTTGTATACGTCTATAAAATATGTCTTTCACATTGAGGAGTAACTGAGTACCTATATTATTGAAAATCTCAAAATTTACTACATTACAGAGGAAAAATATTACTACCCTTGTGCAAAATCATGACATTTCAGTCAGGCCATCTGGTAACTGGCCAGTCAACACAAACTTTTATTCAAAAAACATTCTCCTCAAAAAAAGAGTTTGAAATCATAAATGTTCAGTCATAACATCAAAAACAGCAGGAGCAGGAATGATTGATTCGATTCAGAATTAGTAGGCTTTGTTCTTCACATCAAGGAGTAAGTGAGTATATTATGTTATCAGAAATCTGGAAATCGACTATACAAATCGATCACTGTTGCATCAACATCAAAATCTCGTGAGGAATGATTAAAATTCCAACATCCACAAAATTCCATCAAATCTCATGGTAGGACCACAAACACCTGAACCTGTTTCGATGTGTTCACTATGCATCCAAGAGAAATATGACATTCATCCATATATGCTACCTACCTGTTTATACTGATATAGTGCATAGCTTTCAGTTGGAAGTGCACCATACAAAATCTGAATACTTACTTCTCAACTTGGAGTTTACGCTCAGAAATATTCCAGCATAGCAGGAAAAACGCAGGAGCTGAAATGTGTATTGGTCTCTGTTTCTCACATAGTAGGGTAAGTTATGAAAATACAGAAAGTCAACCAAGTACATGTCAAAACAAACCGAAATTCTTAAAACTCACTTCCTAACATAAAGTTTTCAACCAGCAATGTTCAATTATGACAACAAGCAACAACATTTGTAGTCTGTGTTCACACATTCAGGGGTGAGTGAGTTTGTCATTGAAAATAAGAAATTTCACTAAATATCAATTACGAGCGCATCAGCATCCGTCAAATACTAGCAAGTCTCTTGCGAAATCATGACATTTCACTCGGCCCATCTGGATACCGGCCGGTCAAAACAAACCTGCCGCGCGCGTCACGTTCGGGGGGCCTTTCGCACACGCACGGCTACGTCACCGCGACACGGTCACGTGATGTACAGGTGTGTGGACGTCGTCGAGATCGCGGCTGTCGCGCCGAAAGCCGAAACAAGCGCCGATCGCCCGCTATCTAGATGCCGAGCGGCCGGCTCGCACACTATCATCCTCCGCCGTCCGCTGGCCAAGCTGACCGTCCGCAGGGGGAAAATGGGGTAATTGGGGGCGAGGGGGGTGGAAAAAAGAACGCGAGGTGCGCTAACTATTTAGTTGACGCCGCCGCTAATGAGGTACGAGATGGTTAGGTCATAGACAGTGTGACACACTTAAGATGAAGAAACCCCTGTATTAAGGAATTTATTGGTCCGCTTCTGATAGAACCATGGGATCCCAAGTAACATTTCAAATGCCTAATAGCTTCGATGAGACTTCTCAAGCCCAAGCAATTCCAAACACTGCGTCTTTCAATTCAATTCAAGCAAGAATTCATTACGACCTGATGTTCATGAAGCACATCAACCATCAACAGGTCAGTACCTAATGGAAAATACTTCTGATATATCTGAATGGTAACTATAGAAAGCGAGGAGGATTACAACAGTTTTGCACAAATTATGTCAGATGGCGAGTTTTGCAAGAATTCAAGAAGATGGAGCATTCAACACAATATCAGGGAAACTGCACTGAGTGTAGTTTGTCTTTGTTTCCTACTCGGTTTCATACTTGGAACCAATCACAAAATTTACAAACTGAACACTGTAAATAACAAAAGTAAGGTTATGTTGATCATCTTGCTGACTTGTACTTTTTGCCACACTGCCCAATGAATGCCAATGAGCACTAGCCGGGATATTCTTAAAGCATTATAGTTTTATGAAGGCATTATCTTATATAATATCCTTCTTATAGAACAAATTCAACAAATAGTCATAAGAATGAATTTGAATATGCAATGAGTACTTCAACAGGAGGAAATCATCTTATAAAATGCCTTATCATTACCTAAAGGTTATAATTGAGCATTAGAGAAAAAAAATTGGTTTGAGTATATTTTACAATAAACAAATGTTGGTTATTGATGGAAATGGGAATTTCAAGCGGAAAATAAGGATTCAATGATACTGCCGTGGAAAATGTTGTTTTTGCACATTTTTCAAACGTCTCACCCTTATTCAGCATTCAGCATTCATACAGTTTTGTAAACTTTTTTGAAAAGTTATGTGAATTCACATCCGATTCTAACTGGTAAAAACACATTATTACTAGGGCGCTGCTTTTTTTAAAGCATATCTGGTATGTTTTCGTCAAAAAAGTCGCGTCATCGTTCTCATTTTACAGCCTCAATCTGTACATGAAAGACTATTTGATACAGTAGGGGATTATCATATCATACCTCCATGTTTACTCTCTTTTATAACTATTCATTGTTTTTACTCTATTTTGACTAGATGAGGTTTCAATTCTAGCCAAGAACTGTCGCTTTAAGCATATAGGTTTGAACTCGTGCTCGTGCTAAGAGGCTTCGAATGAAGCAGTCTTGATAGGTTTTATTATACCTTTGAGGCATACTATACAATAAATACTGCAAAAAATTCCTTCTAGTGTTGATGATATCTGAGAGGTACTCTAGTGTAGTTCTTGACTGAACATTGAAGCGAATGACACTCTATGATCGTGTTGAAAATATCAGTATATCACTAAAATAATCAGGACCTCTGGGGACACCCAAGAGTCTTAGCTGGTGTGAACTGGTGTTATTTTTTTTCCACTGTGTATATACCCTCGTAGAGTTCATCTTGTCCCTGGAAGTATCCCCTGTATTCCCATCCACTGTGTACAATCGAAAATCTCCCGAATCTATAAGAGCAAATAAGACATTACCGTCCATACGAGAGGCGATAGATCAAATTTATGACGCGGGTGGTTGTCTAGGGAAGCGCCATAACGGCAGCCTGCTACGTGGTGCAAGGAGTACGCATCCACGTCGGATTCACGAGCTTTTGCTTTCACTTTCAGTCGAGTTTTGCTCGAAGCTTGAATCGCCAGCATTCCCATTCAAAAGTCCGCTCCATTGGTTGCAAAAGGGCGAGTGAACTGTTACCATAGTAAGAAACTTCTATTGAATAGAAGGTAGACTATAGCAGTATCATTAAGGTGTCTGGTTACTACACTTTTCCAAGAAATCAAGGCATCACCAAAAAGGGTACATTTTCGCCAAAACTACTTGTCCGATTCGAACGATTTTTGTTTTGAATAACAGATTAGCACCTTCTGAACATATAGGTGTTTAAACTGTACTGGCATAAGAATAGCCGCCTCGCAAATGCAAAATTCGCTTGTCAAACAAAGTGTCACTTTTGATCCGAATGAAACATGCTATTTTTTCTGCAACCGAATCAATCAACTCAAATAAACATGGGAAGTAACACCAATGCCGTGCAATATGTATGCAATGCAACAAATATTGACAAATAATCCATGTGGTGAGAATATTCTAACTGCATTAACAGCAGGTTAGGTTTTCTAGGATGTTCGAATTGTAGTTTCAATATAAATACAACCACAGAGTGACATATTTGTGTATGGACCAGGTGCTCTAATGGCAAATACCGCGCCCGTGCCAGGCTATAGGAACAAGACGTGGAAAATGTTAGGTTAGTGAGCATATCAACAATGATAATAGTGATAATTCATTCCTCTCCATACTACACTGTGTTTGACTTGATAATCAAATGAAGCTGAACAATATCGTTGTTTGAGACCAAAAAACTATTGCTTGCCGTGATTATTCATAAACAAGTTACCAATCCCGAGAATAACGAATGAAATAGAGATCAAGCAAGTATTTGAATCTTGAAGGCTTCCCTGATCAAAACAAAAACATTCAGCTGAGATTTTTATAATTCCAATACTGAACTATAATAAGGTGTATTTATATCTCCAGCATGTGGGTATGAAATGCCTAATCTGCTGAAATCGGAAACAAATCAGGTATGCGTCTCAACCCAAATAACCAACCGTCACAATGTTGTTTATTCTTGATGACGTCCAGTAGTTCCTTTTTAGTTCCTAGGAGCTAAAGTTCAACTTTAAGACGCATGTTGTCAAGATATATACTACGAACTCCACAAACTATACTACTACTAATTATGACAAAACACTTCGACCAAATGAATGCTATTTTTCCCTCGGTGCTTTGTATTGGGCTTCGCCCTCAAGCTACAAACCGCACCTTGAAAAAAATCTTGCATTTCTGTCCCTTGATGTATAATAATGTACTATTTTATACATATCGAGTGCAGCAATTATGGCGAGATTTTTCATAATATATTCAATACCCTGTAGAGTGTAATAGTTACACTACCAAGTTAGAATTGAAATATCACTTCAGCCTTATCTTTCTTCAAATCGAAAACCGTCACTAGAAATCAATATATACCATCAAAAACAACTCTCACTGAATACGAGGTGGCCTAAAGCTGTCTCATTACTATTTGTTAGGTTATTCTGCTATATAAATCTATAATGACGGTATAGGTTGCAAATAGTGTTGATTTTTATGACATTTAACATTAACATCAGGTTAGGTTAATAATTGAAGGTGCGATGGTTATGTGATATTGCTATGACATATTTATATTCTACATACAGTACGTGGAAAAATTCTGAATTGATGAGAAAACCTAATCGCACGAATCTGCGATTGAAGGTCTATATATAAAAATAACAAGTTTCCATCGTTCAATTTTGAACCCCTTGATTATACCTATATTCAGATGTATAGAATGAATAATATCTGCATTCTCTGTCTATCAGGTATTTTATTTATTTCCTCTTGTCCCTTATCAATTCTCAAATATTTACTTCACAATGAATAATCCTACTATATACTTATGAGAATACCTACATACAAAGTAACTGCTCATCTGAACTATCATGAGTGCCTTTTTGTTCCCATCTAAGACTGCAATAAAGTAATGATCTGAATAATTCAGCAGCCCCATCACTAGAGTTCGAAAAGAGGTCATTGATTGTGCATGATTGTTGCATCAGCACAAAGAATGCGATATCAAGTATTCTGATTCCTGAGTTCTTCAATGTATATCCAGTGATTGTATATATAGTTTTGTCAATATTGTTTTATACTCAATAGGTACCTCATACATATTATATTATGTAATATATATAACTAGATAGGTTCCTTTACATAATTGATCTAAATATATCCAAATTTTAATAGTATTAATGCGAAAATGTATTCATGTAATTCCACATTTGCATCAACAAAAATCATATAAGATATGGAAGATTGAAAAATTTGCCTACTGCCCAATTTTCATTATGCTCTATCATGAGAAACTCGTATCACATTTCCAAATCGCATTCTTTTTCTCGTTCTAACAATAAATCGAAATGTAGAATTTTTATTATTCCCAATACATAACCACCCATAAATCAATCATCTTCATCGAAATCATTAAACTGAACATAACATGAGAACAATCTGTTGGCTTATTTTGGTTCGTCTTTTCTTGATCCTCAATTTCGCGTACAGGGCTGACATTATATTGCGTCCAGTTATCATAACAGGTATAACTCTCTTGATATCTCAATGCCCCAATAAATAAGTACAAATACGATTTGGTCTTGTGGTTGGAAACAAGTTCCAACGAACAACGATTCTTCGAGATGATGTTTGACTTTTTGGCATGGCACATGTTTCTTATACATTGATTTGAAAGTCCTTCAATATACGCCTATAGGCGTGTTATAGTAGCCCTCGTTAGCGCTTGATGGGCTGTAACTTACACGCTACGGTCCTATATTTCATGCCCTTGATACATTAAAGACTTAGGGACTTAGTCATTGTCCTAATCATAGTCTTACCATGGTGAATAGAATATTAACTCATCATATTTGGAACATTATGCATCACAGTCTTTAGGCTTAAGAATTATGATATGACAATTGACAATGTCTAGAGATCCGTCAGTAGATAGGTACAAAAACAAATTCTACACACCAGAGTTAAAATGTAACCTATTCACCAGTCAATGCCATCATGATTTGTGACATCGATTTCCAGGAATTCTCTATTGCAATTTTATCTTTGTATTTTTACTCTTTCTTGTCCCAAAGATGGGGACATTTCTCCACCAAATCTATTAGGGTTTCTTCTTCCAGGCTCATGATTTTTGTAAATGTAATCAAATTA